GGCTACAATGGAAATGCTCGTTTCTATCCATTGCTAACAAGCATGCTCCCTTGAGAACAATGCGTGTTCGCACGCGTAGTTCCCCATGGATTACATCTGAGCTTAAGAAACGAATGCCTGATCGGGATATTCTAAAGATTAAAGCAAGTAAATCGAATGATTCAAATGACTGGTCACTTTTTAAAAAACAACGCAATATAGTAAATAGCGAAATCAGATTAGCCTAGCAAGCCTATTATCAAAATAGTTTTAACAAGTATATGGGCGATTCTAAAAAGACCTGGCAGACTATCAATGAACTTACTTCGCGAAAATCTGGGAAAAAATCTGTGGCATCTCTGAAAGTAAATGGAGTATCAATAACAATTCCAACTGTGCTGTCGAACCAATTTAATAATCACTTTGCTACTATCGGTCCAGAACTTGCCAGCAATATTGATTCATCAAATAGTGATGGCTATCAAAAGTACTTCACTGGCACAGATAAACGGTTTCAGCTCCATCCGACCAGTACAAATAAAGTTCTCTCACTTTTGAATCGTCTAAATAAGTCAAAGGCAGCTGGCCTCGACAAGATATCTGCTAGGCTCATTCGGGAATGTGCAGATCTCATTTGCATTCCTATCCGTGATATTTTTAACCAGTCAATAAGTCAAGGCATATTTCCGGATGACTAGAAATGTGCGAAGGTCACCCCACTTTTTAAACAAGGCGATCGGGACGACTTAAATAATTATCGTCCAATTTCGGTGATCTCAGTTATGGCCAAGGTCTTTGAAAGAATCGTCTATGATCAATTATATGCCTACCTAGAAGAGCATTATATAATCTGTAAATATCAATCGGGGTTTCGTGCTATTCACTCAACTGTCATGGCTCTCCTCGAGGCCACAGACATTTGGGCGTATAATATTGACCGCGGTAAAATCAACGCCGTTGTTTTCTTAGATCTCAAAAAGGCCTTCGACACAGTTGACCATGAGATCCTTTTATCAAAATTAAGCAATTACGGCTTATAAGGTAAAGCGCACCAATGGTTTAAGTCATATTAAGAGAATCGTACTCAAATGTGCTCCATCAACGGATCGCTCTCGCAAAGCTGTTTATTAAGTTGTGGTGTTCCCCAGGGGACGATTTTTGGTCTATTACTATTTCTGTTATACATCAACGATCTTCCAAACTGTCTTTCAAATTGTGAGCCGAGGATGTACGCTGATGACACCCACCTTACATACGCAGGTGATAATGCAGACAATATTCAGTCATACAGTCAATATAGAAAAAATCTCGATTTGCTTGAACAGGGGCCGCGAGGAATCGGTAGGTAATGATGACGTTTCTATTGTTTGCGCCCGCAAGTACGAAATGGTTAGGATGACGTAAAACACAAAAATTCCTGTAGGAACAGCTTACAATAGGTAGATTTTGTGACATTAATTGTGCAGTCATACTTCGATACTCTTTTGCGTTACGTGTTATCATTGACATTCTGGGGAGAAGTTGTTATGAAAGTTATGGACCAAAAGACACGCGTTAAGCGCAGATGAAGTTATAAGGTGCGTAGAGCAGTGTATATTTTAACACTAAGTGAGTTTGCAAGACACGAGTTCACAAATCTTTGATTGGAAACCTTCAGCTGAACCTTGCCAGACACTCTTTCCCTCTCTTTGACCGGAATCAGACTGGGCCCAAAACAAGCAGGACGAGTGAATGATTCAACGGCTAGCTTATCACTAGCAGAACGATGGACGATTACAGAAATTCGCCGACCATCAAATTCTGTGCTGACTTAGTCCCTGCTCACAGATGTCAGGCCTTCCGCTATAAAGTTTAAAACAAGACTAGAATGTGCGAGCGTGAATTGATCAAACGTCCTTTTAATTTCTAAGGCTTCCTTTCCGGCAAATGAAATGAACTAAATGTAAAAAGTGAAATAGAAATAGCGAAAAATTAAACTTCTAATTAAATCTTTTCTTATGGTTTAGAATAAGCTATTCTTGAAACTGAGAATCTTTTGATCAAAGCTGTGTAAATCGAACCGAAACTGTGCATGGAACCTTGCGTTTATTTCCTGTATTTATCTCTCCTATTGTGTGGAATATGTGTGAACATCTTCATTATGAATCGGTATATATATTTCAAAGGGCTACACAAATAGCAAATACTATATAGAGAGCGGGGACAGCTGTAGTGTCAACTATTACTAGTATAATACTTTAGCTGCATTAATTATTAAATTATAAAGACCACTCGACTAGCTGTTTTGCAGTATTTATCTTAACTTTTTTGAGGTTAAAAAAGTGTTGCTGTGATTTAAGTGCTAATACAACTTACCAGGAAGTCCATGCAAATATCGACTGTCTATTTTCAACTCAAAAATTAAGGTAATACTGAAGCACACTCTTTTCCAAGTATATCGTAATTGTTCTAATTCTGCACTTAAAACATGAATTGATTAAAATTAAATAAATATAGAAATGAACAGTACTTCAAAAAAGAGTGCTTAATTGTTCATTGCTACCCTGAATTTTATGTGCATGAGATATGTGGAGCACAAAAAATAGTTTGATTACCAGCTCGACTCACCTTCAGTTATTCCAAAGCTTTTCTCTGATAAAATATTCTGGATTGTCCCTTGCGGTCTCTTTAATGCTAACGAAACGAACCGCCCCTGAGAACAACCTTTCGCCAAATACCGGGTTTCCTTTGTTTTTTGTTTATAAACGAATTTATAATGAACTGATAGTAAACATGCCGGTTTTAAAAGCGATCGTGATCTACTGAGTCACAGTTCTGTTACTGCGACATCTTATTGCTTTTAATTTGCGTTGGATAAGTTACGTCACTTAGTGTTTCAGTTTACTGTAGTTTGGACTTAATTTAAGTTCTTCAGGGGTTTAGACCTTTGACCAGAACTGCCAAAAATAGGAAATAGTTTATGAGCTACTGCACGAATATATATTTATATATGTAGCAGCTGTCGATCTCAATATGCACTCCCTACTTAGGTTCACAGCAAAAGATCTTTGTACTGTTAGTGCAAAGACTCCATGTGTTAATTGTAGAGGAGGAAAGCGTACGTCAGGGCGGTTAATTAACTATAATGAGACCACTCCAACAGTATGCTTGTTCCCCTCGTTTCTTGTTTTTAAGTATTTAAAAGTAATTGTGGCTTCTTAATAAGGAAAATAAAAATAATAATAAAGTAATAATAATAATAATAATAATAATATTAATATTAATAGAAGAAAAACAGAAAACGGGTCCGCATATCATTTTTGATAGAAGAAGATGGCATCTAACTTCGATAGCTGTCCTCGCTGGATCGAACATATTAATGACATTTTACATTGTATCCTTCGCCAGTAACGATATCTCATTTAAGCAATCAGTGATAACACAAGTGAAATAAGCAATTAAAACAAGCAGTGATTCGGAACGAGGACTAAAGAGTACGTGCTTCAGTATGCTATATTTAGAGGCAGAAATAAAGTTGTTAAATATTCAGTTTGAATAAATTTGACGTTAGTAATAAAGAATCTCTTAACTTGTCTCCAGATACCTCTGAACCGAGCTTAAAACTTGGCTTTTCGTGGTTGATCGGGATCCCATTTATTATTAAGTCTTTCTCTTGGTCTGTGATATTTTCATTAATTCCTTGATAGGCTTCAGTTGTTGATGTAGTGTCAACAAGATTTAAAAGTGTTCATCGGTATAACGGCAGTCATACATTATCTCTGACTATGAACTTCATTTTTCCCTCTTTTATAGCGCTAAATATGGATGTTCTATTTAGCCAATGTATAAAAAGTAAGCCGGTGGCATTAGGATTGGTAGATTACTTTTCGCCTTTTTTAAACATCATACGAAAAAATATTTTAAAGACAGAAATTTGGTTGTTATCAACCTGCTTCGTCTTCAAAGTTAACATTAAACTGGACTGCTATTGTGCCTTTAAGGTCAACATAGGTCTATAGAATACTGTACGAAAACTTGCTTACACATAGATATAAAATTAATTCAGTAATAACTTCTGCTGAACACAGTGAAATAGGTACGTGACTTGCAAATTCGCTTATCGTAGTAAATATTTGTTTTTGCATTGTTCTACTGCAGAAACGCAGTTTCCGCAGCGTTCTCGTATGTTACCTCAAGGGTCGCGCACGCTTTGAAACTATGATTAATCAGCTTGGCTTGGCTCGGATAAATAAAATGCTCTATCTAAAAAAGCACTTCAAGTACGGTAAGCTAGGAAAAAAATATATATTAAAACGCTATGGTGACCTCATTATCAGCCATTAAAACTTGACTAGTGCTCCTCTCCTGTCTAAACCCATAGGTCTAACTTAGGCCGCGGTTTAAGAATCTTTGGGCCTCCACATCAATTTAAGAAGATAAAAGCTTTTCTAGTCTGTGCTTTGAAACTGTTCGCGACAAAACATGGTGTTTATGTAGAAGCGATGGTCATTGGTGTTTAGATAAAAGCGTTGGTCAAACTGAAAACGACTTAGAACGCGGTTTTGTTAAACACTGGATAAACCCTGTTTAAATAACCAGCCCATTATATTTTTGGTAAGAAAAATATTTTACTCTTTGGTTCCTTGCACGTCTGATCTTATTAGTAAAAATTGAAGGGTACTCAACACTTACATCATAGTAAGTAGTGAGATGCCTGGAAACACGAAAGGCAGCCATGTACTTGTGGAGATCCTGGCCAAAATAAGCCTAAGGGTGTCAGCGGGAAAATGCAACAGCAATCGAGCAATATATCTCTTTGGCTTGGACGTGACAGTGGTGGGCCGATGTGACCTTGCATTTTCCGCGCAGACACGCATCAACCAAGCTGACTACACATGCGTGAACAACAATAAACAATTCAGGGGTATTGCACATTCTTGTATTGATTTTTCAAAGATGTAATTGTATGAGATCTGGGGCTCGCAAAGAAGAGATCTTCGTTCTTTGTTGTCTGCAAATTAAAAGAGGTTTCACAATCAATGGTTCCCTTAGTCATTTCCAGAAGATTAAACCATGCTAACACTGTCAGAGAGGTCTTTGGCGTGGACGAACTGGGTGAGCAGTTAAATTAATAGTGGTTGCTTAGTTACGAAACAGGAGGTGGCCTCTGAAATCCTACGGCGATGTATTTTGCAGAGCACATATTAGATCATATTAAGTAAGACAAAGGGTAACTTGAACAGACCCAATTAAACTATTTCCTAACCTGCAAGTGTCAGTAAAACATTAAATATTCAAACCTGGCTTCTTCATTACTTTTTTCCTTCTTATCAGTTCCTTCTTTCTCTGAGGCTTCCAGCTTTTGCAACTTTAGATAGACTTTTCATTTTAGCAATCAAATTGAGAAGGGCTCCAGATTTTATAAATCAAAATTATACTTGCAGTTTGAGGAACAATACCTTCCAGGAGCCCATTCTGGAAATTCCAACTTTTATCATAGAATGAAGGTGATGTGCACAACGGAAATGCAAATTTAAATGACGATATGATCATCGCAGTGGTAATTGCTATTTACTTGAAGCAATTGAAAATTAACCCCAAAAATGTACGGGACTTCAACGGGATTCGAACCCATGGCCTGTGCTTTAACGCTGCAGTGCTCTAACAACTGAGCTCAGGGAGACCCATACATTGGAAGCAGGCGAATTTGTTGGGTTCATCTTAACCCGTGAAATTCATTCAAATTTGTATTTCCGCAGTTCACATAATGTTCATTCTATGTTTCACTCCTTTGAAGGGTTTTTTGAGGGTTTGAACCCATAGGTTCACAGCACAGTAATAAGTTTCATTTCTGGTCCTGGTCTATTTAAACTGCAATTACAATACTTCGCGATAAAAATGTTCACAAAAATATTTTCAGCCTTAAGTGACGGCGGAAACATTAGAACATCGTCAACAGCTTCGGCATGAAAATAAACATTCTTTCGAAAAAGAGAGTACTATGTAGTTATCTCCATTTATAGACACTTAANCGATGTATTTTGCAGAGCACATATTAGATCATATTAAGTAAGACAAAGGGTAACTTGAACAGACCCAATTAAACTATTTCCTAACCTGCAAGTGTCAGTAAAACATTAAATATTCAAACCTGGCTTCTTCATTACTTTTTTCCTTCTTATCAGTTCCTTCTTTCTCTGAGGCTTCCAGCTTTTGCAACTTTAGATAGACTTTTCATTTTAGCAATCAAATTGAGAAGGGCTCCAGATTTTATAAATCAAAATTATACTTGCAGTTTGAGGAACAATACCTTCCAGGAGCCCATTCTGGAAATTCCAACTTTTATCATAGAATGAAGGTGATGTGCACAACGGAAATGCAAATTTAAATGACGATATGATCATCGCAGTGGTAATTGCTATTTACTTGAAGCAATTGAAAATTAACCCCAAAAATGTACGGGACTTCAACGGGATTCGAACCCATGGCCTGTGCTTTAACGCTGCAGTGCTCTAACAACTGAGCTCAGGGAGACCCATACATTGGAAGCAGGCGAATTTGTTGGGTTCATCTTAACCCGTGAAATTCATTCAAATTTGTATTTCCGCAGTTCACATAATGTTCATTCTATGTTTCACTCCTTTGAAGGGTTTTTTGAGGGTTTGAACCCATAGGTTCACAGCACAGTAATAAGTTTCATTTCTGGTCCTGGTCTATTTAAACTGCAATTACAATACTTCGCGATAAAAATGTTCACAAAAATATTTTCAGCCTTAAGTGACGGCGGAAACATTAGAACATCGTCAACAGCTTCGGCATGAAAATAAACATTCTTTCGAAAAAGAGAGTACTATGTAGTTATCTCCATTTATAGACACTTAAGTTCCAGCGATCCTTAAATCTAATAGATAAAATAGCTTTACATAAACTAAAGCAAGTAATGGCGTTGTTTTGATGCTAAAACAAGTGATACAACAAAGCCGTGAGCCCAAAAAAGAAAGAGATCCACGCCAAACAAGTATTAAACGTGATTCTTCCGACTCTGAATCCGCACCGCCTGTCTTTTGCGTACGTAATGAATAAAGCGATGTTTCTGCGATCCCTGAAAGGATGGCCTTCATTCCAGTCAGAAGATGTGGTGCTGTTAATTTTTTCGTAGATTCCTTCAAGGTAAAAGTAAAAGCTAACGTTAGAATTGAAAACATGGTACAGCCGCCTCATGACAAGTTTTGAAGCTAATCGTCTGAACCACTATTCACTTTATCCTACCGCTAATTTATCACTTTCACGGTCAGAACGCATCCTAATCTGGTTTTCCTGTGGCACTAAGGCAGAACTTTTCGAGCTATCACGGGAGACTGCAAATTAGCCGCCCCGTATTAATTTTATTAGGGTCATCTCGCGGGCCAGGAAACTGGACTCCTTTCGACTCGATTTCGCTTCCGTAAGTGACGAACGAGGGATCTCTAATCAATGATTACCTCTAGTTAAAGTGCTATTCTTTCTTCTAGCACTCGGAGTAGAAGAGCTAGCTGATAGCCTCGATATCGATAGATAACTGCACTCGTAACACAACTAACTAACAGGGGCTAACAATCAAATGAACTGCCCTGACCCCTTGGCATTCACCCGGATGATGTCACACCATCACAATGCGTTACTCAAAATGAAAGCCAGGAGAAGAGAGCATAAAATTCCTATTCGCAAGTAAATATTATTGCTTTTATCCTACTGCTAATTTATCATAGTGCTATTCCTTATAGCATTATATTATCGCTGCAAGTTAGTAAACATTAGCAACGGGGAATTTACATTATTAGACTGAAACGGAGCGTTCGTCCCTGTCTTTCTTTACGCCTTCTAGTTGACTCTCTTGGGGGTATTTCGCTGCTGCAGAAACCATTGTTGGTTGGCTTATGTGTTGTTGTGTGGGTATTGTCTTTTTAATCTTTTGTATAACGTCATTTGCTGATTGCACCCGTCCGCAACACCAAGAAACGCTAAGAAACTACGCAAACTGCCCACCTACCCCTCCCCTAGGACAACATTTTGCCCTAAGTGAGAAGTAAGTGATAATGTTGGCTTAGGAGAGGGGTAGGTGGGTTGCATGAAAAAAATGTATATCTTCTACTTATCTACACCTTACCAGCACAACAGCTTGTAATTCTAGCAGCACATACACAAGGAAGTAAAAACAAATAAACAAGACAAACAAGGATAAAGCCGTCATAAACCAGGACAACTGTGGGGATTCCAATCCCGTTCCGCAAGAGTTGTTCAACTTCAGTAGATACCCAAACGATAAATAAGAGAACGCCTGCAGCGTAAGTGAACCAGTGAATTACAAACCAAACACTGTAGGCTGATACGGTGCTAAAAACTACTGTGCATAGGTCTTCGTGAATTCTAATGACGTCATCAAGGGTCCCGTCTTGAAGCTCTCGGATAATTCTGAGGGCATCGTCCACAAAAGTCCCTGTATAAAAATTAAAGAAAGAAAAGGATCTGTTGTTAGACCATAGATTCAGGGCTGGGTAATCGTCTTACATTATGAGTGTAACGTTATTATTAAATGTTATTTCTGCTTGTTTTGATTTGTTTGTTTTATTTATGTATTTATTTATTATGATTCACAATTATGATATTATTAATTATTATTAATTATTTATTATGATATACATTAGACTACGAGTAGTCTCCCACGCGGCGGGGAGAGAGAGTGTCGCTTCTTCTCGCGTGGGATGATTTTCACGCTCGCTTGCGTTTCGCTCGCTCTACTATCTCTGAGGAAAAATGTGGGACTACTCGTAGTCTACATATACATGTATATTTTCATTTTATTTTCAAGGTAAATTGAGCCTACTATAAAGGGCTGGTTAGCTTTGTTTTTTCATCCACATGGTACGTTTCTCTAATCCACACTGACACCTGTGTCACTCGGGTTGAAAGTGCCCATTTGACGGGATATAGCCCCAGCTTACCAAAGTGAAAGCCGGGAGTGAAAGAACCATATACAGTGGAACCCCGTTAATGCGACCACCGTTGGGCCATAAAATCCTGGTCGTAATAACGAGGTGGTCGCATTAACGGGGTCTTCAAAATAATAAAATGACTCATGGTTTTTACGTTTGGTTTGAAAGAATATGGCCGTAATAACGAGGTGGTCTTATAAACGGGGTGGTCGTAAGGCGGGGTTCCACTGTAATATTTTAAACGACTTGAAAACGCAAGTCATAAATTATAAACGGGTAACAGCTTTATATTCGACGTCTGAAACCAAGTCGTCCTACATTCGTTATAGAGTTAAACCACTTAAGCACAGCAGCAGCATGCTTTAAACCCAGCTATTTTAAAAGAGAATAATAAAAAAGAATGAATGAACCTACCAAGTGCCAATGAACTGACTGCGAAGATGTGACAAGTGACGACTGACACCCAGTGTAATAAGAACTTGGCCGCTTCTCCTGTTGCCACAAGCGTTTTACAATATGATTCTTCAATTACCAAGTTGTCTTGAAGTATTTTAAAATACAGGAGTGCTGAGCAAAGTAACAACAGGGTGGAAATCAGCAAAGCAAGAAATAACACGAACGTACCTCTCTTTTCAATGTCTTTACTTATTAACTGTGATGGCGTCACTAAGGCCGACACTTTGCGTTTGGCTGCCATAAAGCAACCAACAAAAACAAGATANACCGTTGGGCCATAAAATCCTGGTCGTAATAACGAGGTGGTCGCATTAACGGGGTCTTCAAAATAATAAAATGACTCATGGTTTTTACGTTTGGTTTGAAAGAATATGGCCGTAATAACGAGGTGGTCTTATAAACGGGGTGGTCGTAAGGCGGGGTTCCACTGTAATATTTTAAACGACTTGAAAACGCAAGTCATAAATTATAAACGGGTAACAGCTTTATATTCGACGTCTGAAACCAAGTCGTCCTACATTCGTTATAGAGTTAAACCACTTAAGCACAGCAGCAGCATGCTTTAAACCCAGCTATTTTAAAAGAGAATAATAAAAAAGAATGAATGAACCTACCAAGTGCCAATGAACTGACTGCGAAGATGTGACAAGTGACGACTGACACCCAGTGTAATAAGAACTTGGCCGCTTCTCCTGTTGCCACAAGCGTTTTACAATATGATTCTTCAATTACCAAGTTGTCTTGAAGTATTTTAAAATACAGGAGTGCTGAGCAAAGTAACAACAGGGTGGAAATCAGCAAAGCAAGAAATAACACGAACGTACCTCTCTTTTCAATGTCTTTACTTATTAACTGTGATGGCGTCACTAAGGCCGACACTTTGCGTTTGGCTGCCATAAAGCAACCAACAAAAACAAGATATGAGAAGACAGATCCCATTGCGAATATCGTCAAGTCGATGTTGCCAATGACATTGCCATGGCGTAGGGCCAGCTTCATTGCCTCTGAAGAGTAGTTAAAACTTCCACACTTTTGGAAAACGTCGATGTATGACAAGAAGAAGACCTTGTAGATAGCCAGAGCGCAGATTAGAAAACGGGGGATGTAGTTCCACACCTGATGTCCCCATAATCCAAGAAAACAGAAGCTAAGGTTCAAGGCAGACAATGCAAATTTAATGCACTTGGTAGTTTGTTGAGCGTCTCGACCAAGTCTAAAGTTAAAGTACATCGGTGGCTGGGGAGAAAGACTCTCTTCCATGTCAACGTCGATCAATTCACTCGCAACTTGATCTCTTCCAGCGACATTTTCTTCCTCCATCTTAGACTCATAAAGAGCTATCCGGATGAATTAATGTTGTTATAAAATCTGACCTATGTATTGTAGGGCGTTTGATAAACAAAATTTGGTTTTGCTTACAACTTCATGTCACGCAACCTACTGCCATATGGTTGTTTACCCAAACTAGAAGGATTTCAAGAAATTCACTTAAAGGGCATGACCAGAGTTCTAGAGTTCTAGTTCGACTAGAGTAGAACTTAGCTTTAAGAAGTTGCCATTTCCAAGTTCCAAAAATCCCGACTTTCAAAACGAAATCCCAGTTTTTAGCGGAGGGGGGGTCTGCACACAGGCTAACTAATTACCGAAGCCATTCTCGTCCCAGAAGGAGAGGATCCTGGGAACGAGATTGAAACTGAGTCTTGAGAGCCTGGAATTTCGATCCTTTACTGAAAACCTGTTACTAAAGCAACTAAGAAATGGTATCTAAATGCGCATTTGCATCAGCTGACTACTTTTGTCATTATTTCTAAAGAAGTGTTCCTTTGTTAACCAATAGCTTCTCAACTGAAGTTTAGTATACCAGTATGCTAGTATTCACGATTATTTTTGGACAGTTTGACAGAATTCATGTTGCGAAATTGAATTTGTATCAAGCTCCGATTCTCTCTGAGTCTCATTTTTGGCCTAACTATTTCTGTAAGTCCTTACAGTTTCCCTTAAATAAATTATTGTTTGTGTCCGGATTCAAACCACCTTTATGACTTTCTTATGTGAAATTAAACCATTTTTAACAACTAACCAAGAAAAACTAGGGTAATAGTGTCCTGTCTTTAATTTTTAGTGGAAGTTTAATAATACTCAGTCATACTAATACATGAAGCTAGTTAATTACAGAAAACAAAAAGTGCATGACTGGAGGATATTTGGCGGAAACTAAATTCCCATACAAACAATTTTCTCCAAAATTCAACTTAACCCTCGGTCTTACACGCAAAGTCATACCCCTACCTTGATAGAGGAGGAGGAGGGGGGGGGGGGGGGGGGGATGGAGCCCCCCCCTAGAGTTTTTGATAGGTTGGGGTATTTCAAAAAGATTTTACCCTCAGTGGAAAGCCTTTGATCTTCTCTACATGATGGGGTTCAGTAAAAACCCGCATATAAGAATCCAGAATTTTCAGGGTCGGGCTGAATTTGTTCTTATATTTTAAAAGGGTAGTTTTCACAATTATGGCTGATTAGGTTCTTAATACCTTCTTATTTTTCAGAGGTTGTCGTAGTGTAACCATTGGCAGAAATATTGTACTTCTAATACATAATGGCTTATGGAAAACATATTTCTGGTGAGAATCCAAACAAATATAAATCAAAGAAAACATATACACAACAACTTTTGTCAAACGTTTCTCATGATTAAATAGAGAATTTTTGATCATTAAAATTGGATTGATTTTTTGTATATAAAAACCTATTTTCCTTTGCAAGGCCTGTAGGTTCTTAAATCACTAGGCTCTTATATGCAGATGTTTACTGTATATTTTATGGGGGATCAAGCTTCTGGAGGCCAGTGACGTCACCAAACATGGTCGACATCTTGGAAATCAGGAAAAAAACGGCGAGAATTGGTAATTTTTTGTGCTTGGCATGTAAAACAACACATAAATAAGTACTTTGCTCCATTTTATCCACAAGCTTTACTTTTATCTTTTAAAGAAGTTGAAAAAAAAAAAAAAACATGCAATTTCACTCAAAATGGTTT